ATCCTTCATATTTGACCCAGACTGAACATTAATACAAACCCCATTCCCTAACATCAATTCAAGAGACAGAAAATAACCTTGATTCTCTAAAGTCCAGTATAACCAAGCACTTTCCTTAAACCAAAGCCTCAAATCCAATTTGAGTACCATAAAATTGCTTCACCCAAATTGCATGCTTTAAACCTGACCAAAGCGAACTCTAACCTTCTTTTGTCTCCCTTTTTACCAAAGCCTCAAATCCAATTTGAGTACCATAAAATTGCTTCACCCAAATTGCATGCTTTAAACCTGACCAAAGCGAACTCTAACCTTCTTTTGTCTCCCTTTTTATTCTAAATGGAAGTAGACCCCATCAGGCTAATCCAGCCTATCTAAGCACCTCTTCAGAATTGGTCCTTGGAAGAGGCCATAGAGCAGTCCTTAGTATCCATTGAGTCTAAGTCTAAGTCTTAGCCAAAATCCAAAGATTGAGTCAAAGTCCAGTCCCTTAGAGTCTGTGTCTTCTTTACAGTCTTCTTTGTCAGACCATAGCGATCTTTTTGTCAAACCGGATGTAGATGCCATTCAGGGCTCTTTTATTTATAATGAAAAGTTTCACTTTCCTTATTACTACCTTCTCTAGCCTGGGTGAGATTGCTGGCAAAAAAAAAAAAAAAAAAAAAAAAAAAACGGAGAATACATGTTGCAGCCAAATTTGAATCCAGCATACATTTGTACATCATGGTAAAAAAAAATGGGCGCTGACAGAAGGTCATTAGAAAAAAAAAAAAAAAAAAAAAAACGGAGAATAAATGTTTGCACCAAATTTGAATCCAGCATACATTTGTACATCATGGTAAAAATGGGGCTGACAGAGGTCATTAGACAGTATCCAGACTACTTCACAGTGAGGTAAATTTAGAAATTGCTCCCACCTATGGGCAAATCAAGCCAATCAAGAAGAAAACTCTAAGAACGGAAGTTAGAGAACTCTTCGAGAATTAAGGAAAAAGGACCTCCATCAGAATACTAACCAGGGCAGCTCTATATTCACCAGTTCATGAATAGAAATTGTCTTCCATGTAAACATTCAAAATCATTCGACTTGAATCATAGGGGAAAGCCAACTGCCTAAAGCAAAATGGGTTCAAGGCCACCATGATCAGTTAAAAGAAGACTTGAAGCCCTCAATTAGAATTGGGGTTATCAACAAAAAATAACTTGGCGCTTCAATAAGAGGAACCATGACTGAAAGAAGGATATCTCGTACTCCAAAGAAAATTAGAGCTTCTGTGCAAGAACCTCAGGCAAAATCAGGCCAAACTAGGTAGTCCCTTCATATCCTGAAGAAGTTTGAAGGCATTGTCATCCTGTCAGACATTGATGGCCATGAATTTACAAACCCTCACAATTTGGATCTGCCAAAGAGGTACTCCATGTGAATGTAATTAGGCATTAGCACTAGAAATCTTGCCCCTTTATGCCACTATTAAGCCGAATTATGGTGACTTGACTCTCGAAAATATATTAACTAAAATACGAGATACGTAGGCAGCCCAACCTGTGGGTGCGGTCACAATAATAATAAAAATATATATTTCGACTCTTTTGATGGAAAATTCTAGATTTTCATTGGGCCAACTAAAAAAGAAAAAAAGAATCAATCAAAAGCTGAATTGAAAACACGCAAAGGGCGATTGAGGCAAAAAAAAATATAGCTAAGTTGAAAACTTGCAAGGGCAAGCGGCTTAGGAAAAATTAGAAAAGCTTGTTAAGTCGAAAACCTAAAAGGGCAACTTAGGCAAAAATTAGGACAATCTGCTAAATCGAAAATCCGCAAGGACGGTTTAGCCAAAAATTAAGGCATAAAGTAGTAATCTCATAAAGGTTAAGGTGAGTGTCCTTTTCATAATATGTGTCAAAATGATTTCTCTCTCACATGTCTTTTAAAGCAGTATGAGTTATGAAAAAGAAATTCACAAAAGCCTTGTCATAAAGGAAACATTTGGGTTAGTTATATGAAAACCTTCCCTTCGCCGCACACTAATAGCCCTAGGACAATGAACTAATAAATGATTAACACCTTTCTCTAATCTACAAAAAATGCACTCAGAGTTGACCTCAATACCTCTCATTAGTAAGTTATCCCTCGTGGGAAGGACATTATGCAAGGCGCTCCAAACAAAGTCTAGAACCTTAGGAGGGACCTTCAATCCCCATACATAATTCCAAATAGCTCTATTCAAATTAATAGGCCCTCTACCTAGCATATTTAACTTCACATAATAGGCTGACTTCATAGAATTCCTTCCCTTTTTATCAAAATGCCAAAGTAAAGAATCTCTTTGATTATGAATACTGAGGGGAATACTCAACATAGCTCTAGCATCCCTCATACTAAACAACTGTAAACTCCAACATCCCAACTCCTACCCCCCTTCATAAAAAGATCACACACCTGCATGAGATCATGAACAAATACATTCCCATCCTCAACCATGAAAGAATCGTGCTTAGGAATCCATGGGTCCTTAGTAATGAAAAGATCCCTCCCATCTCCTACCCTCCACCTTACTCCCTGTCTCAACACCTCTTGAGAAGACAAAATACTTTACCAAATAAAGCTATAATTATTACCTAAACTAGCTAAAATAAAGTCCCCCCAAGGAAATATTTAACCTTGAAGATTCGATAAACTAAAGTATTGGTTTTGGTTAACAACCTCCACCCCTGCTTCCCAAGCATTATAGTAATGAAACAACTAAGATCTCTAAACCCCATCCCCCCATCACTTTTACTCCGACTCATATTATCCTAAGAAAGCCAATTAATATCCTTTCCAACCTTCGGTTTACGGTTCCACCAGAACCTATTCATCATAACATGCATCTCACGACACACGGTAACAGGAATAGAAAAATGCTCATGCAGTACAAAGGAATTTCCTGGGCAACAAATTTAAAAAGGACCTCCCTACTTGCCTTAGAAAGAAACCTATTACCCCACCCATTAAGTTTACTCCAGAGTCTGTCTTTTGAAAACTACAAATCTGATGCTTATTCCGCCTAATAAGTGATGGTAAACCCAAATAACTACCCCCTCCTAAAGGTTTAAACACCCAAAAATGCTAGAGATTTCAAACTTAATATCCTCATTCAGATTAGGACCATATAAAATACCAGATTTTTGAAAGTTAAGAGACTGTCCCGATGCAAGTTCATTCTTCGTTTTACTAGAGATTTCAGACTTAATATCCTCATTCAATCAGTATTTTATTCTTTGTTTTACAAATACTAATTTGTTTCATTCTTTGTTTCCACTAGATCAATTAATTGGTGTTATAAATTTATATACTAAATCCTCTTGTTTATCTTACAGACCATGCCATATAAAAGTGACATTGAAAGAAAAGTAGACCATGCCATATAAAAGTGAAATTGAAAAAAGTAACACCATTATATTTTTTTTCTAATTAAAAACCAATTTTCTTACTTAATTAATCAAAGCTAGATAAAAGAATCATTAACACGATCGAAGAGCTACTTGATTATGTAACACTCTATTCATGTTTGGAATAAATTCAAAATTGAAAAATTCATTTACTTTTATGTCCTAAAATATCATTTGGCATAATAATAAATTCAAGTTTTGAATTTTTTTAAATTCATCGATTCATCTGAAATCCCACTATTTTTGACAGAATTTCATTTAACTATATTCAAATCCAAAGAATTGAATTTGTAAACTTGAATTTCTTATTTTTTTATGCTAGACATAAAGTTTAAATTTATAAATAAATTCCATAAAATTTTGTAGAATTCATTTAGTCCAAATAAGGAAAACATATTTAATTAGAACACTAGAGAATTAGAACACTAGCATATCTCTAAAGACTAAAAAAGGAGTCACAATACTTAAATACTAACTTTTTTTACCTTTATTCATCAGTTTCCTTTTTCTGAAGTTCTTTAAACCACAATGAACTTGTGAATTATTATAATTAGTTTAGTAAGAACAAATGTCATAGTTTTAGAAAGGAATGACTTAGCCATTTTCTTTAATAATTACTCAATACTAGTAGGACTCTCCAAAAGTGATGGCACTAACATTACAATATCTAATAAATATGTTTCCTTCAGTTGAAGTTTGCAAAATGTTCTCTATTTGCTCTTTCTTTAGTTTGGTTATAAGAATATTGACAAAGAATGCAAATACATATACCAATGTGACTTTTAAAGAATGCTTTCCTAAAAGAGTTACTATCTGTTACTCTTTTTATGCCACCCCTAACCCATATTCTCTCAAGGAAAATAGATTCTGCAGCCACCTCCACTATTCTGTCACCAACTATACCTATCTCTCAGTCTTTTTTTTTTTTTTTTTTTTTTTTTTTTTCCCCTTTAAGGAAATAGAGTTCTGCAGCCACCTCCACTTATGGTCTCGTCACCAACATAACTCTATCCTCAGTCTTTAGTCTTTTTTTTTTTTTTTTTCTTTTTTTCTTTCCCCTTTAATTTGCCTCCCCTAGCTGATAAATGGTTTGGATATAGTATAGAGATTTTCCTTTAACAATGAAAACTTCCACTTAGCAAGCTGAAGTACAAAAATGCACCATTTGAGTTAAAATAAGCATGCATCATTAGTAAAGTAGCAGTCTCAGAATCTACTTTTCTGTTCAATTAAAAATTGTTCTATTTTGTGCTTTAGACTATGTTAGGCAATAAATTTGTGAGTAGTCAATCAAAACGCTAAATGCTTTTTTTTTTTTAAGTGTTCGGTAATATAATATTTGAACAGTTTTTAGAAATTAAAATAGCATTTTATAAAAGGTTAACTATGTAACATTTAATTTTTAGCGTTTTATAAAAACAGCTAGAAAATGTAAAAACAACTAACAACTAATTTTGTCGAAGATGTAATTAATAGGCAAATCAAATGAGTATGATTAGTAGCAAACCGTTAGACGAGAAAGGGGAAATTTCCGTTTGATCGTTAGCATTAACTGTAAAGCACCCTCTAGATTTTGAAAGAAAATATCATTTCATTATTGAAAATTGGTATAGTACAAAGCTCAAAGGTACCTATGTACCTTAAAATCAATATAAACTTGCAATTTGAGGACTGCAAAAGACTTGGACTTCACCAATAGTGGCCTTGGACTCATCGCCAAATATAGACTCCTTCCCATCAACTCTTTTAGCATATGATAAGCCCAATCTAGACTTGGCCTGCCTCAAGTCACCAATTCCAGAATTGGTATCTGGCCCAGCAAACCCGCCCATAACGGGCGCTAGTGGAGGCCCGATAAGTAGCCCATCAGCCCCAAACTGAGGCCCACCCCTAGCATAATCAAAAAGGGCTGCACCACTGCCACCAACTTTGGGTAATACAATAGGGTCAATAGTCTCGTTGTCTGTCCAATAGAAAAGAAATGCATCAAACGTGTCATAGTAATCATCTGTGCTTCTATAGCCTTCTGGGTTAAATGCACCAAACTTGAAGGACTTGTTTGTATAGCCTATAATTACACATGGTCCCTTGAAGTCACAACAGTTATGGAAATTTGTTGCACTAAATCCATCTATGGTAGCTTTGTAGCAGCACTTGAGCTCTCTACCTGCTCATAAACGCATCAGAAAATTAGTTTCACTAAAAGATTTCTGCACGTATCTCTTTTTTATGTTCTTTAATTGGGAAGGAGAATGGGAGGGTTTTAATTTCTTAAAATTTCTGTATTATAAAGTAAATATTTCAAATTATACATCACATTAAATCTGATGTCACCCTATCACTTAGACATATATAAAATAGCATGAGGAGATGGATTTGATCAGACTTAATTTGCTCATTCAAGTCAACTTGATATAAGAGACGCACTGGACTTAAAAGGAAGCATTCCATCAATATTTTTCTAGTACAAATTTAGAATTTAGAAATTAGAACAATAGCTAAGAAAGAGAGTATCTGTTATTTACCTTTTAAGAAAGTTTTGTCAACAAGAGAAGCTGGGAAAGGAAGATCTATTTCGTGATACTTAGGCTGTGGTTTATCATCAGCACTTCTCTTCCCTACGTTCCAACCAAACAGATTTTGTGGGCTGCTCCTCTTCCATCCATGGAATGCAGGGTTTGAGATGCAATAAGCCATCATCTAAACATCACTCCTAAATTCGAAACTCATTCACCAATTTCCTCCTCAGAAACAAATATCTTATCTTTAAAAGTAAATGGGCTCTAAATATTTATTAATATGTGGAAAGAGAACCTTCATCGCCAAGGGTCCATAGCTCAGTGGTAGAGCAATTGACTGCAGATCAATAGGTCACCGGTTCGAACCCGGTTGGGCCCTTTTAGCATTTTTACGTTTAAATATATACATGTAGGTTTTCGCATCTTTATTATAAAGCTTGAGTTACAGTATTAAAGCAAATTATCAATACCTGTCTATCAATAACACACACACACACATAACTCTCACAAACTATGTGCATCATTTTCAAAAATAAAATAGCTTATCTCATATAAGATATTACTACATGAAATAATGGTGTTACTATCCATTTCCATGGGCCGGATCGGCATTAGGGCTCAGGTAAGGTTAAGGCCCATAGTAAGCCTGAACCATTAAAATGTAACCATACCAAATGAATCTCATAATTACATTATACTTTGACCCAAATCTAACATCTTAAACATTTCATAGTTTTGGCCCAATTACAATACAAAACATCTTTAATATGAGCTAACAATCTCATGCATTCATATAAAATAAATGACTAAACCTCCTCATGAGTTTATCGATTACAATCCTATAACTGTAGAGTTTACTAACAGATAAGTATATATAAGTTTTAATACATATAGCTACATAATTAAATAACTGCTAATTCTAAAAGTTAATTTCTAGCTCTGTCTGTAGGGAAGGAGACAGAGCTCTAATCGGAGGTGACTTCAAGGCCAATCAAACTGTGCTTTGGAGATGATCACAAAATCCTTCGAGCCAATCAGACTGAGCTTCGGAGGTGACTTCAAAGCCAATCAGACCATGCTTTGGAGATGATCAAGACAACCAAAATCCTTCAGGCCGATCAGACCGAGCCTAGGAGGTGACTTCAAAGCCAATCAGACCGCGCTTTGGAGTTGTTTACCGATCCAACGGGAGCCTACAAAGCCGATCAGACTGAGCTTTGGATGTGACCAGATGATTAAATCAATTCAAACTGAAATCCTTCGAGCCAATCAGACCGAGCTTCGGAATTCCTTCGAGCAATAGACCGAGCTTTCGGAGGTAATCCTTCCAAAACCCCAATCAGATCGAGTTTTGAGAATTGTTAACTGATCCGACTGGGAGCATCAAAAGCCGATTACAACTAAGCTTAGATGTGACCAGATTCAACCCAGATTTGAAGGCGCGTCAATAGGCCACTTTAACTTAATCGTTTACACAATTAAATGGATAACGTGGAGGGGGGGGGGGGGAAACTATTGACTGCGTGCTTTTATGCCCCCCTAACCCAATGGGATACGAGATGCGGAATGAAGGGTTATTGCTATCCAGAAGTCTTTTAATCCAAGGATTTAAATTAGACTAATTTAAATGTGTCTGGGTTACGTAAGAGTTGCGCCACGCAGCTATCACGTGCGTGACGGCACTGTCGGTTGCGTCATGCAACTCCAATTTAGATGACGTCACCGAGAATGCCGACATAACGGTTTTTCATTCTGTCTGAGTACGTGGCAATGATCCAGAAAGTGAGCTGCGTCACGCATCTATCGGATCCGTCACGCAGCTATCCTCTGTTGCCCTACTTCTATAAATTCATCATTTTATCTCTTATTCGAGGTTGGTTTTTTAGGGCGTAAAAAAAAAACACACTTGCAGCTAAGTTTTTCTCCAGAGACTCTTCTGAGTTCCCCTGAAGAAAAACAGCCATTAGACATCAATTAGGTTAAAAACGAAAATCATAAACGAAAATCATAAAAAAAAAAAAAAAGCAAGAGAGAAAAGGAGAAGAGAGGAAAAGGGTGAGCATTTAAATCTTGTGGATCAAAGCTTCTTGGAACGATTAACCGTCATTCTTTAAGGCGTTTAAGCTGTTTAACAATCCTTCAGTCTGAAGGTTTAGGTAACTCTTTTAAATCCTTTCTTGTATTTTTATTTAGTATTGTTTTTTGTTATTGTTTTAGTAGTTTAAATCTTAGTTAAACGGTATCTGTTCACTTTTTGGTTGTTTTTTAGATCTTATTAAGCATGTTTAAATAAAAAGAATGATGTCAAATAATGTTTGAAAAAGTAAGCACGGACCAAGCAGTTGCGTCACGCCAGCAGTAGATCCGTAACGGACCTGGCAGTTGCGTGACGAGCTGTTTCATGTCCCAAAAATATCGTTCTTTACTACGTCACGCACAGCTATCAGATCCGTAACGGATCTGGAGATTGCGTGACGAAACTGTTCATATTCACGATTTCATTTTATTTTTAATTGTGGATCTAAAATATACGGTCGATGGATCTGGAGTTTTAAGAATAGTTAGGTCACGCAGCTGTTCTTCTAAAGAATAGCTGCGTGACGCGATTGTTCTAGGAGTCCAGAAACAATTTTTGTTCTTTTAAAAAATTAACAAATTTTGTACAAAACAAAATTTAATTTTTCTAATAGATCCAAAGACGACCAACTGTGAGCAGATTGCAATTTAATTAAGTTTAGAACATTAAAATGTAAATATGCATGATTTTGGGTTTTTGGGTTTTGATTTCGAATTGGGTAGAATGTATTTTTAGGTTCGGTTTGTGGCTCGCCTTTATATAACGCGCAAAAGCGGGTCTTTTATTTATTTATTTATTTGGTTTAATTATTTTGGTTTGGATGATTTGGATGAGTATGAATGTGATAATTAGATTTGATTGGGACGATTAAATAATTTTCCATATAAGGCCGATTTATCGGCATCGCATTCAATAAGGTGTTTTGTCACCACTGTTCAAAATAATCATCATTCTCCAAATCAAAAATAAAAGCGAACGTTTTTCGGATCGCTCGGGGGTGGTACGAAAACACCCGCGGAGTAATCCTAGGCTAGTATGTAAGGTTGGGTTTAGTCCTTCCTCTATGAGCTAGCTTTTGGAGCGAAGTTAGGGGGTCCAGTCTCTTGCAAGAGTACTTGCAAGAGTCCCTTATCATATACTACCTATTATTACTTACATTGCTAAATGGAAAAAATATCCTAATTTGGAGTCCTAACTCTTTGAAGCAGTGAACAACTACAACGATTTAAATGAAATGGCAATTCGAAGGAGAGGAGAGAATTGAATTGAATTAGTACTCTATCTTAAATATGTCAGGTTAAAGAATTATTTTAAATAAACCTATTAACTTAACCAATAAATATATCTAGCATGGATTCTAGTGAAATTTTGGTAGAATCTCTCCTAAAATTGGATTAAACCACCTGCTTAAGACTACAATTCAATGATAGCTTCTCAAAGCCCATCCATTAGGCAATTCACAACAACTAATCCCGTTCGCTATAATAATTTTTTATTCATCTAAACATTTATTCAATTCACATAGCTCATCCGTTGGGCAATCAATCAAATCAATCCATCCGCCTTAGACAACATTGATGAACCATCACACACACATATATGCACCAAATAATTCTAAATCCTAAACTAAATAATTAAATCCTAAACTAAATAATTAATCGCAATCTGCTATCATAAATACTGTATACTAATCAAAATTAATATATTTATAAAAGACTAAAATATTCTATTTATATATAAAGCTACTCAAACAATCTAATTTCTTTTTATTTAATTAAATCTACTTAAATATTCAACTAATCTAACATAAAGGCTAAAATATTCTAAATGAATTGTATGCTTAATTTTCAAAATTAAGTGTATTTATCTATTTATTTGAAATCAAATTAAACAACTAAAAATTTTAAATTGGAATTTATACCGAAAAATTTGGAGCTGGTCTTAGAGTTTACCAATCAAAAATCGAACTACGATGCCACGATCCGCACGAGAGGGAGAAGATTCTGCCTCTTGGGGTCCCACCGAAGACTCGTCGGCCGATTGCCGCGCCGGCACCGTCTACGGTGGCCGGAAAATCGTGGCTGCTCGAAATCGAGTGCTCTTCACACTATCTGGCTCGGTTTTCACTAAGGAGTCCGTTTATGGCATTAGTTGCGTGAGATCGGCTTTCTATCCGACTGAAGCGGGCTCGACATGAGCCAAATGCCATCGGTAACGTAACTATTAATCACCAAAAAGAGACTGTAGCTCGCCTACGTTGCAGCTCTCGCTGGAGTCGCGAGTGAGCATAGGACCCGACATTGAGCAGCGGCTGGAGGTTGGTGGCACTGCCGCGATTCACTCAAATAGAAACAGAGGGAGACAGGAGCTGAGGCGTGACGACAAAGAGAAGGCGGCATAAAGAACTACGTCGCACTCATCTCCGGTGACCGGAAAAACAAGAGAAAGGGGGAGAGGAGGAGGTCGGCGACGGGACTGTCGTTGGACCCAGAAAGAAGAAAGAAAGAAGAAGAAGAGGAAAGAAAAATCTAGGCTTCTAGACTATTCCAGTTTGATTCAAATTGGTTTGGTCCAACTCAGTGGTTTGACTTGGTTTTTACTTAGTTTACAGGGTTTTCACTTGGTTTTTGGAAAATTCAAACTGGTTTACAGGTCTGGTTTAACAATAATAAAATATTTTTCTACTGAATTTCATTTGTTGGAATAAAAATTTAGTTTTTAAATAAAAATTTTATGAAATTGAATTTTTGAGTAGTTTCAAATGGTTTCCATATAAAAAAAAATTTTAAATAATCAAATTATTTTTCAGTGAGATATAAATTCATTTTGGAGATTTTATTACAAATATAAGATGCGACCAATAGTCAATAAGAAGTAAGTAAATTAATAAATAATGATTGTTATTTTTTAAAGAATTCACCCATTGGAGTGGTGATTTTGAGCAAATATAATATGTGATTGGTCAAATTTAAATAAAATAAAAAACTCATCATTTGCGAACACAAGAGATACTTAAGATGAATAATGTGTAACTAAAAATAAATTTAACAATATATTATCTAATATAAATTATAATAAATATTTATATACTAAAAATCAAATTGAAAAAGGCGCTACTAAATGACTCAAATTATCGCTAGTGTAAATTTCAATCATTTGTAATATATGTATAAATATGTGCCTGCGTGAATTTGAAAGAGAAAAGTGGATTTAATTAATTTGACACCATATATATACATATATAAAGATGCAAACACAAAACTAATACACACATTTCTCAAATCTAATATGCACAATATCTAACAGTAACATAATTAAGGATAATGTCAAATTAGTAAATCCACTTTTTCCATTCAAGTTCACTCAAGGGTATATTTATAAATATGCCCTATGTATTTGAAAGTTCCATCAAACCCAAGTGGCGAAACATATTTATCGATTGAAAAACTTCACTTAAATTAAACAACTCTACTAAAATAAATAAATAAAAACTAATAAACAACATATACTCTAAAAATATCGATTTAACCTTTTTATGGTCTAATTTTTGAACTAGGGTGTTAATAGGCTTAACCACCAAAAATACCTGAACTTAAAAGGTTGTTGCAATTACACGGTAATTTGATCTTCTTGACATCTATACCCTAATTTCACCTTTTAGTTGCAATTCTACCCTAAAACCAAATTTGAGTTAAAATTATTAATAAATTTAATATTAAATGTGGGTCTCTTAATCTAAACTTCCTCTTTTGCCCCTCCTCTCATCCCCTCCCTCTTTATTCATTTCTCCATTTACATAATGAGACTAAAGCTTTTGCATAAGAACAATGATGGGTTTGATATTTTCAAGTTATATAATAAAAATAATTAGATTAGGTTTCTAAAACACTTGATTGGCTCAATCCTTAATTGGATTGAGAGAATTCACATAGACCATTTGATGGGCATTCCTTCAAATATCGACAAAATTGGATTCCGAAGAGAGTGTAGGAGCATATATATTTTTTAGGGATCCATTTGTTCTAGATGAAAATCTGTTAGTGGAGATGTCATCTCCTTCATCTTGAAAGTGTAGAAGTATTGAAGACTTAGGTCATTTTAAACAATATTTGTTAAAGTTTATGTTTACTAGACTTGGTGTAAGGTGTGAATTAACTGTACTCTCCACTTCTTCTAGGATAGATGGCGATGACAAACTAGTGGATTCAAAACATAGAACAATAGCTTTTGAGATTTGGATAAATAATTATTATTTATTATTATTTAATTTCCATACACTCCTCAATAAATAATTATTATTTAAAAATACGATTTAGTACTATTATTTTTTTTAATGAAAAAAATATTTAAACCCTTATTTACATCAATTTAAGGGTGTAAGCAAATTTTTTTCTTCGCATTAGAGCAAATCAGTTAATTATTTATGGATATCTATATCATGAATTTTTATTTTTTTCATTAAATTTTAGAATTGATTTAAAAGAATCTTAAAAATTTACAGTTTTTCAAAAGTCACAATCACAGCGTAGTATGAATACGACTCTGAATGCAATAGTTACAATATAAAAAAGGGAGAAAAAAAATTTCGCAGAACTCCTACATAATATGCAAATGCATTTTGTACGTCCAAATGGCAAAATATGGACTTCATATTAAGAAGTTGATAGAGAGTGCACGAGACAAACTACACCACATACATAAAAAAAAATCACACAATAAATAAATAATAAAGGACGAACAGCTAACTGTTATATATCAAGATTCGGTTTTTAATGGGAATCAAACCAGAATTAAGACGGTCAATATTGTAATCGAACCACTATTAGCAGCTCTCAATTTCGAACTGGAATTGAAATTGTATAATTATAATTTTGTTTTGGTACCTAAAAAAAAAAAATCTTATTGAAGTTATTAGTCTTTCTTATTTAGTCATGCTATAAAATTAAAAAATAAAAAAAATGAAAAAAAATCATATGATTATGGTTTCAAACTGAATCCGGTGATTCAAAAATCGAGATTGAAAACCATGTTCTGAAATCAAAATTTACAATTGGGAAACCGTGGTGATGTCCAGCTATAGTTGATGTTTGATGATTTTAGGTTAACAATAAGCCTTCCTTTTCTGGCAAGTAAAGTATTATGAGGGGTTGCAATAGCTGGATTTTTCTCGTGACTATGACAGGTTAGTTTTTGGCTTCCGCTTCTTTCTTAAATGAGAAACTGACTTCCTCTTTCTTGGGTGGATCAATTGGGTCAACTGGCGGTGCTTTGTTGACCGAACAAGAAGTAATGTTTGTATGATTGTCTATTTCAGTCTCTGCTTCAATCTAAGCAGTTTCGTATGGTATATATTGGTAGTGAGTACTGTTGGGATTCTTTAATTGTGATCAATGTCATATTAGTTTGATTTGGTGTAATTTAACAAGAAATTGAAGACTATCTAATTTGAGGAAAATCGAGTACAACAAAGTTGGAACTAGGTAACATTCAATCGCCATATACTCGATTGCTTCGATTATAAACATATATAGATCAAATAACTAAGTTTTCAAAACGGGGAGCCTAGGCCCCAAACTATACAATTTTTTTTTTTTTTTAAATCTCCTTTATAATTTAGTACAATTTTTTTTTCTTCATTTTGATCCCTTAATTTTTAAAAAATTTATTTTAGCTCCCAAAATTCTAAAGTCTAGCTCCACCCTACACATTGTCATTCTTTGGTTATTCATCCTCACTTTTATAATCTTTAAGTTGGAAGATTACATTGCTGAGACAATCTCCTCCCCATTTTGCCACAAGCTTGAAAGAACTTGAAGCTATTTTATAACTAATAGACTCTTGATGGACCCTCAGCGAGCAATTTGCCCGTCAGCAATCTCAAGGTCTTGCAAGTAGATTTGTTAACTCCTGAAGCTGTATCATTAAATTGTATGCCATCGGACTCTGGATGGAGATTAGAATTCACAATAAAAATAAATATGGAGTATTGATTAATAAAATTAAAAGTATTAGCCAAATTTGAAAAAAAAAAAATCCAAACTTTTTAAGCGATTAAGGCTTCAAAGTTTGATTTATTTTTGAATTTTATGAAAAATTAATGCAAAAGTTTGATTTATCTTTTCTTTCTAAAATGAATCAAAGTAAACCATAAACTTTATTTATATTTTTATTATATAGAATATTCTAATATGTGAAAACGTAACTCAATTAATTAGTACTATATATAATGCTTTCTGCTCTACTTTCGATTTACAAAACTTAGCAATATAAAGTCATTTTTATTTACAAAAATTATTTAATAGTTGTTTAATTGACCTAATTTTGCAAGTTTAAATGTTCAATAAGATAATTTTATAAATTGAAGTGCTTAACAGGTGTAATTTTATAAGTTAAAATATCTGATGGATTAAAGTAAAAGTTGAGGGTATTACAAAGATAAATTAATAAAGTTTAAGCGTGAATTTATATATTTAATCATTGATTTTATATAGTTAATAAAATTTTTGAAAACAATAACTTTTATATTTTTCGACTATTCAATAAGTGTTTACTCCGATGTAGTTTTACAAATTGAAATGTTCCGTGAATCAAATTGAAATATTTAATAGATATAATTTTATACGTTAAAGTGTTCAGGATTAACGCGTAATTTGAAGTTAGTATGAAGTTTCGTATAAGACATATATGGATGAGTTAGTATATACCAGTAACTATTATTAATGAAGCGTATAGAACACGCATGTTTGTCTTTCTTTTAAGGAAAAAAGACAAAATACCCTCAATTGCATTAAATAACTTGATTAAATTGACTTAACGCATAGTATATAACTCGCAATTATATTATATCGGTTCATTTAACTTTTGGTAAATAAAAAGTTGTTACATTAAACCAAGAAGAGATTCAACCGACTTGGTTGAGTAGCATTAAAAATAATCTCTTATTTTATAAAGTTGTTATACTATATAGTACCAAACCCATTTGAAATCTCCTAACTTGCTGGCAAATTATAGCTGGCTATAGAAACCTCTATTCTCTACCACCAACAAGAAAGCACATATATAAAAATTTATTAGGGGACTTAATTTTCCTCTTTTAGTTGACTATTACCTTCAATCTCTATGCACTTTTCAATGCAAGACATGTGAATATTGAGAAGGAACTCACCACCCTCTTCATATAAAGTAAACCATTTCCCTCTTTACAGAAATTTGGAGTTGTGATAGCAAACTAAATTGAACTCCCCAAGTTGCCGAACAAAAAATATCAGCCATTTCTTTGATCTTTAACCCTTTGCTTCGAGGATCATTTTGGGCAAGTTAGGCATAGAAATGGCAGTGGGTAGTGAGAAATGGAAGAAAAATATTCATGTTTTAGCTGAGAAAATAAAGAGATGTCCTGCTTTTTGTTGGCAAACAACTTCGAAGGTTGGTCGAGATGATCCTCGAAGAGTTATTCATGCTTTTAAAGTTGGATTAGCTTTGACATTAGTCTCCTTGATGTATCTGATAGAACCTTTGTTTGAAGGAATTGGACAAAATGCTATTTGGGCTGTAATGACAGTTGTTGTTGTGCTGGAGTTTACTGCAGGTAATATTATTTGATCTATATAGTGCTTTTTAGCTAATCTTAAATCAGTAGTCGAGTTTCTGCCTTGTATTATGAATAAAAATGGAAAACGTTAAAATGAATTTCATGACTTCTATTGAAGTTTTTTTTTTAATTTTTTATATATATAATATAGTAAATTTTGGTTTGATTGATATTAATCTTTATCTTAATTTAATGCAGGGGCAACATTATGCAAAGGACTTAATAGAGGATTAGGTACCCTTCTAGCAGGACTATTGGCATTTGCTATTGAGTACATTGCGCATGAAACTGGAGAGGTCTTTCGTGCTATTTTCATCGGAGCTGCAGTTTTTCTTATAGGTATAAGAAATTTCTGCTGTTGCTCTGCAAATACATGAACACAGGTTCACAGGATATAATAAAACAAGAAGAAATAATTCAAATGGTAGGGGTAAATATAGCGACAGATAGCAGCATAGGAAGATTATATCACCCTCAACAACTCTAATAATTTAGGGTTCTGATTTATATATAATAATTAGATAATCTTTTTCTTTAAAGAGTTAAACACACATATGAGACACGAACATGACCCATCAAAATTATGACAATTTCTCTCAGACACACATTTCACAAATGATATATATGAGATCCGAAGAACTTTATGATATTTTAGAAACTGTTTGTTATGGTTTTCAATTTTCAATTTTTATTTAATATGATTATTATGCTGAGATCCTGAATTAATTAATTAATTAAAATATATATTTGATTTTTAATTTTTCAGGGTCTGCAGCCACATACATTAGGTTCTTGCCCTATGTAAAGAAGAACTATGACTATGGAGTTGTAATATTCCTTTTGACATTTAATTTGATAACTGTGTCGAGCTTCCGTGTTAGCAATGTTTTGAAGATTGCCCATCAACGCTTCTACACCATCGCTATTGGCTGTGGCGTTTGCTTATTAATGAGTCTTTTAGTATTCCCTATTTGGTCAGGAGAAGATCTTCATAACTCCACTGTCTTCAAGCTTGAATGTCTAGCTAAATCCATTGAAGGTATATATGCATATCTATAGTTTAGACCAGCAAATAACCTTTTTTATTTTATTTATTTAATTATTTGCATCTTTGAGTTGCTTGACGCTCGATTTGGGAAATGCTCATTTGAACCCAATGGATAAATATAATAAGCTAAGATGAACTTGAGTTGATTTTGAGCTGTAAATTATAATTTTTATTTTTTAATTATAAATTGTAAATGAGACAAGTTGGAGTTCAATTATTTAAATTTAAATCGAGTTTGAACTCGCTTATATTTTTAATGGGTCGAGTTTAAACTATTAGAATTTGGTTCGAGTTAAATTTTTACATTTTAACACTTTTTATAGCTATATTATCTGCATCAAATGAAATCATATGACTTTATTATCTTTTATATTTTAAATTTCATTTAAATGAATTAGTCAATTTTTACATATTTTCACTAGGGACTGTACTCAAATATTTGAACATGTTTCAACTTATAAAAAGTTTATCTGAATACTCTGCAAAGTGTTTGAATAAAAATTATAAAATACAGATAACCTTTCTTTTTCTTTTCATCATTAATTTGATTTGTAACATATTGTTGTAGCATGCGTCAATGAATATTTTAGTGACGCGGAGAAAGAGACTACCGAAGATAAATCATCTGGGGATCCTATATATGAAGGTTATAAGTACGTTTTGGATTCAAAATCACAAGATGAAACTTTGGTGAGTTGTTTTACACTTGATATTTTCTATATAATATACATGGCATTAGGGCTAGAAAAGCGCTTTACCTCACAGTTATATGGATTTTGCAGGCATTACATGCCAGTTGGGAGCCTAGGCATTCAAGGCATTGCAGATATCCATGGCAGCAGTATGTGAAATTAGGAGCTGTTCTTCGCCGTTTTGGTTACACTATTGTAGCTTTACATGGATGTCTACAAACTGAAATTCAGGTAATTTTTTAATATTTCAATTAGATTTGGAACGTAAAAGCAGTGACAGATTTAGAAACATATATTTTTTGAAAGAAGAGGATTAAAGACATAAATAAATTGAAATTCATGGATTAATTTAGATATATTACATATATTTATTAGAAAAATTCAAAAACAAAAAAGAATTTTAATGCGTTGGATCCGTCATTGAGTAAAAGTATGAGAATTTTAATGGAAAAATGCATATTTAAGTTATTGAATTTATCAAGTTTTGCCATTAAACATTAAATTCCTTTTTATCGACGTTGAGCCTCTGAATCTTTATTTTGTTAAAATTAGACTCTTGCTTTCATATGTCACGCTGCGACGAATTTTTTTCTTCTTGTTATTAATTTGGATTTATTGTTTACTTAACTCAAAGACTTAATTTTTATTGGCTTAAAAGCTTATTAATGAGGAAAATTCAACGAATTTAAAGATTTAATTACGTGTTTTTTCAATTTTATAGACCAAGTATCATAAAGGGTTTTTAAGCGGTTTGATTTTCCATTTAAAATTGAATAGTCGTAATACTGTTTTTTTTTATTCCTGATGATGATTAATAGACTCCAAGATCTTGTCGTTCCCTCTTCAAAGATCCATGCATTCGCTTAGCGAGTGAAGTATCAAAAGCACTAATGGAACTTGCCAATAGTATAAGAAATCACCGGCATTGCTCGCCTGAGATAATCTCTGATCATCTCCACGAAGCGTTACAAGATCTTAACACTGCCATAAAATCACAACCAAGGCTTTTTCTAGGGTCTAACAGTAGCCAAGCATCGAACATGCTAGCCCTAGCAGCTGTACATGCTCGACAAAGGCAAGAAAAGGATAATCATCGTCATGGAGTCTCATTATCAAGCGTAAAGACCGACAGTTCTGCATTGTTCGAATGGAAATCCAAAAGGGTTAATGATGATCAACAATCAAGAGAAGCTGAAAGGAAGGTTTTAAGGCCACAATTGAGTAAAATTGCTATAACAAGTCTTGAATTTTCAGAAGCACTTCCTTTTGCTGCTTTTGCTTCTTTGCTTGTGGAGACAGTAGCAACGCTAGATAATGTTACAGAAGAAGTTGAAGAGCTTGGAAGGATTGCTTGTTTTCAAGAGTTTAAATCTGGTGATGATGAAGTTGTTGTTAACATTCCGACTCCAAAACTGAAAGTTGCGCAAAATCAATTGTCTTCTTCCGATGGGGCAGAGTGATTCTATATGTTATATATAGTTATTGTTTATCGTTTGCTTTTATCATGCATGGTAAGCAGCCAAAAAAAAGAACTTTATTATTGTTTGTTTTTCCTTATTTAGCTGAGATTGTGTTTTATTTCTTATATTTCCTTTCGATTGAGTTCTCATAATATAAAGACAAAGATGTAGACTTGGAAATACCAATGCATTAAAATAACTTTTGCATAAGAACTAAAGCTGAACCATGTAGATTGGATATCACTGAGGCTCCCTTTGTTTTCATAAAATAACTTACAGGAAAATAATTTGTTAAAAAAATATTTTTCAAATGACTTATTTTCCATTATTTGGTTGTAATATTAAAAATTAGTTAAAAATATTAAAGTCTTTATTTCATAAGACCATAAAAAATATTAAAAAGCTGAACCATTGAATGGATTATCCAGCTAGGTGTGAGGAGGCTTTCCTTTTGTTTTTCCATAAATATAATTACTTTACACGGAAAGAACTAAATTTGTTAAAAAAATTATTTTACATAATGACTTATTTTCCATTAATTTGGTGTAATATTAAAAAATTAGTTAAAAATATTAAAGTCTTTATTCATAAGAACACACAAACATAAAAATATATAATTAATAAATTCATCAAGAAATTATTATAATTTAAATGACATTTTATAATAAATATGAAAAAGAATGCAAAAAAAAAAATAAATAAACTTAAATGAATCAGCCGACTGGCCCAGTGGTGTGGTCCAGTCTGGTGGTAGTCCGTATGGTGGTGATTGGTGGTAAATGGTGACTAATTGGTAGTGAACTATGATGATTAATAAATTCTACAAAAATAGAATTTATATTAGGGTTAATTTGCCAAATTCTGTCAAGTAAATCTATTTTAATTTATACTCTCACAAATTGAGAAGTTGTTTTCCGTTATAAAATGACCTTAATTTCTTTTGACCAGAAAAATAATTTTACTATTGACATTAATTTTCTCTGAGCACCCAAATCAACAGAAAATTGTGCGATAAATATTTTTCTCAGACATCAGTTTATTATCACTATGAGTTCCAGAAACAAAGCTGGGAAAATAAGGGTATATGCATTCTATTCTTTTTCCATTTTCAAATTTTTGTGACTACATGACATTCTATATATCCACAGTACTTTGAACATTAAAACTTGTTATTTTAGTTTTAATAGATTATTATCATACATTTCGAGTTTAATTCTCTTATTAATAATTAAATGTAATAATAATAGAAATTTTATAATTTAACATTTTATTATTAAATATGAAAAGAATGCAAAAAAAAAATATATAAATTATGAAATCAGCCGGTGGCCAGTGGTGGTGGTCAGTGGTGGTAGTCGGTGGTGGTGATTGGTGGTAAATGGTGACTAATGGTAGTAACTATGATGATTAATAAATTAAAAAATATGAATTTATAAGGTATGCCAATGTTCGGAAAATGTTTTATTTTCTCACAAATGAGAAGTTGTTTTCCTTATAAAATGACTTAATTTTCTTTTGACCAGAAAAATATTTTCTATTGACTTATTTTCCTGAGCACCCCAAACAACAGAAAATTGTGGAAAATATTTTTCTGCAAGTTATTCTACAGAAACAAACGGGATATAGGTATACTTATCTTCATTTTCAATTGTGACTACATGAGATCTATATATCACATACTTTGAACATTAAACTTTATTTTTAGTTTTTAAATTATACAACATTAGTTAATTCAATAATTAAATGACCAAATTAGTAAAATTATATATTAAATTGTGAACCAAATAAATCAAAATGTAAAAACAAATCAATCACGGTCATATTTGGTTTAGTTGTTTGTAATAATTGATAATTGCTGATAGTTACTAATAATTGGTATATTGTTGCTACCACGTAGTGCCCGCAAATATTAATGGGTCATACAAGTAGTATAGGAAGATATTGTTTCTACAAGGATTGGGATGATTGAGTTTTAGGTCCTTTTGAATACTTAGTTATCAAGTGACATTGATTCTTAGAGGATCATGTCACTGGCAATTCACTAGAAAATCTGGTTCCAAGATCTGCTTCTTATTACAATTCTATAAGCTATCTATTGCAAATTACTTCAAACTCATCAAATGGAGCTTAACACCTTTGGAACTCATTACAGAGAGAGAGAGCTCCAATTTCAATCTATTTGTGATTAAATTCGACTTGTTGGTTAATTTTATTCTGGCATCCTTTAAATAGGACTAGTCTTATTATAGAGAGAGAGCCCCAATTTCAATCTATTTGTGATTAAATTCGGCTTCTTGGTTAATTTTATTCTGGCATCCTTTAAATAGGACTAGTCTTATTACAAATATAGGAAACTTATAATTTAGGCTTCTCATGACAGAAATCCTAACTGGGAGATATGTCTCCAAAACAAAATAAAATTCTTAACTAGGAGATAAGTCTCCAAAACAAAATAAAATTCCTAATAGGAGATATAAGTTCCAACAAAACAAACCTAAGCAGCCATTCCAACTAATTATTTGCCACATCTGCCATAAGGACAACCCATATAACATCACCCTCTCTCTGAAGAAAGAGCTTGTCCTCAAGCTCAAAGTCTGGGTAAGCATTATGGAAAGGTTCACAACTTTCCCGAGTTGCATCACCTGTATCAGTTCCATCCCAATGCACTAGGGGTTCCCCAGTTCCTAGGAACTAAAAAATTTCCTTTTAGCGACCGACAAATTAGTTGCTAATCCTTTTTTTTTCTGTCGCTAAAATAGAAATAGCGAATGAATTGCGACCATGTGAATTCGTCTTATAAAACCTTCTCACTAGGATGTTAGTAATCGAATGTGGAATTTGTCGCTAATTAGCGACCAAGTAGTCATTTGCTAATTTTGACAAAGCGGCCGCTGAATCACTTCCATACATTAACAAAAATGCAGTCGCTATTCTATCGCTAAATGAGGCAGTTGCTATTTAGCCGCTAATATTGGTCGCTAACTTGGTCACAAATCAGTCACTGTAATTTGTTTTCAATGTTTCGCAGGGTTTCGCTAAGCCGTCTTTAAAATGGTTGCCAATCGGTTGCTATGTTTGTCTCCAATCACTTTTCAATGTATTATCATCCATCGCTGTTCCGTCGCTCATCGGTCACTACTTAATTTTTAGAATAAAAAAATAAAATTTAAATTTTGGACAACAGAAAATTTTCACATGTAAAAAACAGCAATATATAATGATTCAAATAATTCACACAAACAATGGCACAATTGAAAAAAAAAATACTAAATTATAATTAAGATAATACTAATGTGCGAAGAAATCATACAAATTATACTGCAATATACAAAATAAACATGATAATAAAAAAGAAGCCTAAAGGGTCGGATTTGCAGGATCTATAATGGGACACTGAAAAGCAGGCAGCGTGGAAGAAGCCGAGGGATTAGAGTGATCTGTAGGTGTAGAGGGAACTGGCGGTGCAGTAGGTCAGTCTTGAGCATACATATCCATCAACTGCTGCTGCTGCTGCAATATAAGCTATGATATCTGCTATTGCTGTGCTTGAAGTTGAGCTCATAAATCTTGGATCTCCTAGGTAACTGCCTTCGGCTCAGCTGGTGTGGCTCTACTCGCTGAAGCTCCATGTGTTTAGCTGTAAAAAACATTAGACTACAAACCAATACCGTCTACTTTTCTCTTCTTCTCGACTCTTGCAACCTCGAGATAAAGTTGGAACTCATCAATCATAGGCTGCTCACCAGTTGAGGATGCTAGGTTTTCATGCGAAGAAAAATTAATAGAATGGGCTTGGTTTGTTTTATTTAGAAAAATGATTTTCTCTTATTAGACCAATTCATTGATCCTCGAAAAAGTGCCTCTTAGTTTGGTAAGAGTTTTATTTTGGAGTTGCCGCTCTCTTCAGGAAAAATTCTCAAATTAATGGATTCTTTGGAATCGATTAATTTGGTTTTTAAATTAGAGACTGGGTAAGTGAGTTAGGTACGGTTTCGGAAGGTGTTAGGTACCCGAACCACCCGGTTGAACCAACCTCATTTGTTGTCGATTCATTCACAATAAACGATAATAAAATTAACTAGAATTGAGATGTAAAACTTTAATGCAATTTTGAAAATATGGCACACAAGTGCATTACTACATACACAAAGCATAAAATAAACATCCAAAGAAAGGGGGGAGGAGAAAAGAGTTACAACCTCGTCCTAATTTACATTCTACCCATTTATTCCATTAAAATTTCCTATCCCAACTATTTATTACAACATATTAACAAATAGGACCCATTAAGGCTCTTTACACCAAGCTTACTAATAAAGCAATAAATAACACAAATGAACAATACAACAACACAGAATTTAATAGACATCCACAGAACTAAATAAGCACACATTCATTCAATAATGATAATACGATGAATGTTCATGTTCATAAACTAATGTTCAATGGGTTAGCCCAATAATAATCAAAGAACAAGGAATAAGAAAGCATAAACGTAAAAGAGAAAAACTTAAAACTGCATAAAAGTAAAGAGCAATAAATTAAAAGCAAAAAGCAATAAATTAAAAGCAAGAATTTAAAAGGTTTAAACAGGATTTGGGTTCAAAGTCTTGATGTTCATTATAGATGATGAACAAATACACTTGTTATTACCCATTTATTGTTGATTTCATATTTTATTCAGTCCATAACAGGTCGAAATCGCGATCCAGAACAATAAAGTCTGGTGCTTGGCCCAATGAAACTCAGATTCGGGACCGTTTTATTGATTTTTATCATTTTGGACCTCTGAAACGAAGGTCCGTGTGCAACAACGGAAGTGGCATGCGCCACACGTAGTGTCATCCGGACCTTTCCCAGATCAGGATTTCACAGAACCAATATTTATGCCTTTATCTTATTAATTTTATGTTTCTGGGCTTTTGAAATGAGGGTCCATGCAGCACAAGGGAAGTGGCATACGCCATTCCGTGTGGCACTCGGACCTTACCCTGATCAGAAGATGCAGAACATTATTTGGAGCTCTTTGACTGAAGGCGCGCGCTGCACGTAGTGGTGCAAGGGTCTTACCTTGTGGCATGCTCCACTTCTGACACAGTCAGAAGCTTTTTAGTTATTTACTGACTTCTCTCCCAACCAGTATAGAAAAGGTGTTTAACACTAAAATGAAAAGAAAAAGACGAAGAACAAGTTCAGGGCTCTCAGGG